GCCTCCCTGCGGCCGGGCTTCCCGCCCTTAGGCCGCGGCAGCCGCGCTCGTCCCCGGCCCTGGGAGCCCTGAGGGGCGGCCCGGCCCCGCCCGGGCCCGGTCCGGTCGGGCCGGCCGGCAGCCGCGGAAATCCTTTAAGAGCCGCTGTAACGGCGCTTTCGCGGGCACTGGGCAGCGTTTTCAACCTGAAAACGCTTCCGTTCTCACTGAACGGTCGGCGTTCTGGAAGTCAAAGCCATGGAAATTCGTCTCGAGGGTGTTGTCGTTCCTGAGCGCTGCGTCCTGACGGTCTGCGAGGGAGGGGGAGTGACGGGCAGGGAGCGCGTCAGGAGGAAGCCGCGCTCGGCCGGAGGGCGCATCGTTGTGTCGGAGCTGTGCGAACGGGGAGAGACAGATGAGCGTGCGGCAGGCCGCGCGCAGGCAGGTCACCTGGAGTGGCCGTGTCTTTGCCGGTCCCATCCCTCTGAAGGAAAAGCTCTGATGACGGTAACAGGTTTTCTAAGATCTTTTAAGTTACTCCGTGAAAAACGGTTCCTTTTGGTAGCAGTGTGTGAACACTAGAATTTTATTCCTAAACGCATGCGTATTTCCGGTGCCAAATGCCAAACTGTTACATTTCAGTATACAAGGATACAAACCGTTCCTACAAAATGCAACGTTCGATCCAAATACCGGGTTTGAAGCAAACAGGTTCAGAGGATCTTTTTGATCCCGGTGTGAATTGCTGGATGACAAGAGCTCTTGCACTTGTCGAAGGAAGTGGGTTGCCTAACCTGGTGTCTTGGTTCTGGAAGAAAAGGCATAAAAATTTGCAGCTGATGCAGAATAATCTGTCTTGGGGGGAAAAAAAAAAAGCCAACTCATAAATATGGGGAGTTCTTCTCAAGTAAAAAACTGCTGTTGTAATTCTGCATATTCTTATTGTCCTTTAATACATCTACGAAATGCTGCTGAGCTCTTTGCATTGTCATGTACGTGGCCACAGCTTCTGCAAATGTTGTGAGTATGAAGTAGCTCCAGCGTTTGCTGCTCCAATTCTCTGGCTGTCTCCTGAGCGTTGTAAATACTCCACCTTTATTGTAGTAAAAGTCTGAGTAGAAATCTCTTCTCCATGCCATCCATTCATAACTTTCCCTGGTTTTTAACCCTTACTCCTATCCATTTTTCATGCTTACTTCATGGATAAGCAGTCAGAATGTTTCAGTTACATTTAAGGGAAGAAGCCTTTAAAAATGGGGGGTCAGTGGGGGTGTCTTTTTTTTTGTCTTTTTTTTTTTTCCCCTTGAATTCTGTCCCTTCCAGATGTAGGTAAAAGCATGCAATTGATGCAAAACATCATCACATTTTATGTTTTCCCCACGCCATTTTGTATGCATGATTCACATGTGATTTGTCTTTATTGTCAGACCGCTGCTACACACCGGCAGCTCAAGGTTTGACGTTGACTTCTGGCTGAGATACCGCTTGTTCTTTTTTCCCTGACATGATGCCATTCGTTTAGATCTCAGTTACATACAAAACTAGACTGACTTCTCTGTGCTTTGACACATTGCTACTTGGCATTTTATCAGTCTGAAGTGTAATCTGTGTCTTACGCCTTCATCTTGTACAGCAAAGTACTCCTGGAAACCCTCACTGTTCTGTCATTCTTTAATCTTACTTAACTATCATCACCTTTACAACTCCTTCACATCTCCTCATTAGTAACTCCAAATACAAATAGCTGTCCCAATAAGAAGAGGTTGGGCTAACCCACTTTTTACTACTATGGAAAGTAAGTACAGTTCTTTACAAACTCAGACTCTTATTTACGAGTAGATACTTGTCTATGCAAAACTGCCCTTTTTTTACATATTTTTTTCACAAAAAGCTGTAGCTCATGTGTTGAATGGTGCTCTGGCTATGTAATTACCATCTTTTAATAAACCACTTACAACTGTAAATAAGAAACATATGCCTAAAATAAATACATATATATATTAAATGTATTTAAAATAAAGTAAGTTTACTATTTAAAAGAATATTCTTGTTAAAAGCTCAGAATGCTGCAGGGGTGGTGGAGAGCTTTTTACTTTTATGGTAAAAAAAGTATTTTACCATACTTTACATCTCTCACATATCCTAGATGGTTTGTCCAAGTCTTTCTAAATGACTCCTTCTTTTCTGTGATACTGGACACCCAGCTTGCAATGACATGCTCAGCTCCTCTGAAAGGCGTCACAAGTTTGACTCAAGACTGAAAGCAATAAAGTGATTTTTTTTAATAAAGGTTGTTCTTGTCAGTATTTTTGTGTTTCTTTTTCCTAAATGTTATGTTAAAACTTAAACTGTGAGGTCTTCAGGAATAAGTTACTATAAATGCAGAATATTACTATTTAGAAACTATCATCAGTCCTGTACAATGAGAAACTGATACAGATTTTGCAACTCACTAAATACATAATGTCCACTGAATAATATTTAATAAAATGTTTACCTCAGCAATAACAAACTATATGAGAAGTACAGTGTTTTACAGAACAGATACATTAGGTGGCATTTGTGCATTTAGTTGCAACTTTTCTTGCCTAAATATAGATGTTTAAGTGAAAAATGTGCTACGAACAAGCCAACTCTTCAGACTCATTTGCTTCAATGCATGAATGCACGAAAAGACAAGGTAAACGAACGTCAATATCTTGAGCAGACAAGTAGTTGTACTGGGGTAACACTTAAATACATTTCAAACCCTCTCACATGCAACACAACTGTATGGATCAACGCAAGCAACACTTAACGCACAGAGCAGTTTGTGTCTGTTGTATGTAGTGCTGTCTGTACGCAGGGTAGATTTCAGCCTGTCTTTACTTGAGGTGAACATGCATCCACATTTTCAGGAATAGCTACACACATTTAAGATTACCAGGAGGACAAAGCCCTGACCTGACGACTGCGGTCAGTGGGATTTCTGCCATCGGCTTCACACAGTGAGGAGAGCGCACACGGGATGTCCATTGCTATTTTTAGACCTGCCCTCTGCTTTTCACCCCAGCCTGGCCTGCGCTGTACTTAGCCAGTTCTGCACTGCTCCTTCTCCCCCCTTTTCCACAGCGTACCTATTCACCGCTTGTCCCGGAGGGGATGAGGTTACCTGTTCTGCCAGCAGCTCTGCCTTGGCGGCCGCCTCCCGTGTCAGTGCTGACCGCAGTCACCTTCTCCTAATCCCCCAGTTCAGATCCCAGCAGTGTCCTCTATGATAGAAACCAATCACGCGTCACATTAACTTAATGAGGTATTAATTACATTTGAGAATCAATTCCTTCTCCTCTACAAACAATATTTCAGGAATTAAAGTTTGTCTGTAGATGCTATTTTTTTAACTTAAGTATATATATATAAGGTGTAATAAATAATTTTTTTAAAAGCGAGAAGGGAAATCAGATTTGTGAAGTTGTTGATGTTTCTCCTTGGTTTGCGCTTTCTCCTTGTGCCGAGTGAGTCAAAAACTGTCCTGTAGCTCCAATGTATAACCTGGAACGCATCGGCCACTTCTGGAAGAGAAGAGACAAGCACAGTGCTGAGATACCCGGGCTCTTTGCAGTCTGAATGCAGTTCTCAGCAAAGCTTTAAATGATGGAATCACAATATGAGAAAATAGGAAACTCTTGCTATCACCAGAAAGTTCCCATTCTGCCATGTGTTGGACAATGTCGTTAGAAGCTGGGTAAGAGAACCTCAGCCTGGATATTTTCTTTGGTAATTAATCGTGAGGCACAGCTCCCAAACCCCGCCATGACCCAACAGACAGGAGTAGGCTGTGCTAATCTGTCATTGTACCACAATCCGTATAGCAGATGCTCTGTTGGCAGAATAAACCAAAGCATTCCTCTTTACGGTGCCAGGGATGCTATGGGGATACACCAACACCTGCAGAGACTGCAGCCCTGTGTGTGCTGGCCGGCCCCCCCAACACTGACCGCAGCACAGGGGCTGCTAAAAACTGTGTGTTAAAGGAAATTTAACGTAATCGCTCCTTGGCAGTCTTCCGCACTGACCGCTGCTTGTTCTTTGTCAGCTCTGATGATTTCAGATGAGACAATTCATCTTTCCATTCACTGATTATTGGAATCATCAGTTACATTGGTGTTAAGTATTCTTATAGCTCAAGTTTCTTAACCCGAGCAAGTTACTTTGATGCAAATGGCCCTGCAGTAAGGGTGACTGCAGCTGGGTGCCCTTCTCTTAGGAGGAAGAGTTTGATGTGCTGAGTTCATTATTATAGAGAGATGAATGTTTGAGAAGACAGCTTCTCATACACATCGGATGAAAAAATACCTTAAACACAGACAGTGTGTTGTTCCAAAAGAATACAATTTTTTTAAGACACTTTTGGGAACAGGCTGGGACCTTTCCTGTGAGTAACGCAAGAGCTCTAAAAACTAGAGGGGCTTAATACTGCAGTTAAATCTCAGCTCTTCTATTTAAAGACACAAAGCAGCAGTATATTTTCACTTGGAAAGACTGTACGATCTCATTCAGTATTTTTATTTCAAGAGTGACGTTATAAATTTGTCACCAATAAGACACCTGAGTTTGAAGTCACTAACCATATTTTTTGTTCGGTGTACACACAACTGTACTTGGATATTTTACTTTCCTTGCTATTTGTATTTACTGTGCTTGATATATGAGTGTAGTTAAAGTCCTTATCTGCACTGGTTGTCTCATATCCTGCACTTTGGGCATTTTTTCTGAAGCATGTACTACAATTTTTATGTGGCACTTTTGTTCTAGTGCCAACTAAAAAATTTACTACCAGGTATATTAGAAAGACTGGTTAGACTCATAGAATCTTTACAAACCTAAATACAGGTAAATGGCACATAAATAAGATTATAAAAAATAATTGCCAGATGAATCCAGTATTGCTGTATTCCAGTAGCCTGGGAAGTGTGCATCTGGATCATTTAACTGCTGTAATAGCTATTTAAAAGTGTTTTTCTGCCAGTAATAGTTGGCAGCTGATAAAAAGTACCATAAGAGACCTGCCTCCTTTCGCTCTGACCAAGGGAACTAACAGAAGCTACTTAGAACTTATTTTGAAATACATCACAATATTTTTTTTCTTAAATTATAGCCATCTTCTAATTGATGTAAAGGTTTTGCTTTCTTAATGAGCCTGCTAATCATTTAAATGGCCTCAGAAGCCTATGTTCACATCATGCTTTTTACGGCGACCAACACTGTGAACAAGAAACTCTGTGAATTTGTCACTTTATAGGAATTAGAGATTACCTCACAAATTAATCTTAATTAAATCATTCTGAATTCATCAGACTCTTAAAAAAAAAAAAGAAAAAAAAAAAAGAAAAACACCCCAGTGCTCTTAACTAACTCACTCCCTGAGACCAGAGCCAAAGAAAACACCCCATGGTATTTGAGTCCCGTCAGTCACTGAGCAATGCATTTGAAACCAGTTTCCAGCCCCAGGTCCTCTCCAAGAGCAGTTCCCCTTTCAAGTCCCCTCTGCATTGCTGCGATTTTTATTTTTTTTTGGACAAAGGGAAGAGCGTGTACCAACCAGACGAAATAAATGCATCAGAAAAGCACTTTCATAGGAGGAATTAACACGTGGCCGGTAAATAACATCACCTTTCATACCTCGGCTGCCTTGGCGGGAGAGCCGAAGCCGGCCCTGCTGCGGCTGGGGTCGCCGCTGCGGGACAGCGCATCCCCTCCACCACAGACATCCCCGACAGCCGGTTCCCATGGGCTTGGTGGGGGATCACCGAGGTTTCCAGGTGGGGACCCAGGAGGTGCCGGTACTCCTCTGCTGCTGCCCTCTGCCTGCGCATCCAAGGGACCAAGGGCCGCTAGGTTTGGACCTACGCTATATTTGATGCTTTTGTGCAAAGGCCCTGAAGCTGGAGGGACAAAGCCAGTGAGCTCCAGGGCATTTCCCTCATGCACCTAGATGCGTGGTTAGCCTAGGCAGACTTTTCATGTATTAACTCTAGCAAGGTAAATAAGCTTGAAATCTTTAGTTTCATCTAAGCATCTTTGATGCCAATTTACTTCTTCACTGAGAGAAGGCGGTAGCTGCTCCCCAGCTCTCCTACCTTGACAGGGTGGAGGTATCCATCCCCTCGGAGGGTACCCAAGGCCTCTCCCGGTGACTCTTCCTCATCCTGAAGGCTGCGAGTGAGGTGTGCGATATAGGTGGTGGCCAGGAGGAGCACGTCCAGCTTGGAGAGCTTGGTGTCGGGCGGCACAGAGGGGAGAGTCTTCTGCAGCTCGAGGAAGGCATGGCGCAGGGTTTGAACCCGACTGCGCTCTCGAGCGGCGTTAGCGGCGGCGGGTCTGCCAGGAGGTGCCCCGGCCCGCTGTCCCACCGCCGAGGGCGGGCAGGAATTGCTGCCGGCCGCAGAAGGCAGCAGGGGATCGGGCTCCACGCCCGGGCTGGAGATCTCCTCGCTGCCCTCAGCTAAGTGTCCACAGTCCATTGGTGACTTCCCCGGTGGGGAGGGCCCTGCAACCAAGAAGAGCATCTCTAAAGCCAGCCGCCGCGCTGTGCCGAAGCGAACGCTTTCTAAAAACAAGGATTCTCAGAAATGCGAGCGCTGCCCATGCCAGGAAAAGCCAGCATGCAGCTGCGCGAGCCGCCTTTCCGCTCGCTGCTTATAAATTTGGTATCACACACAGGTACCGAAACGCAAGTTAAACTCTCCACAAAGACTGGTATTGAAATTTTTTTTTTGGACAGTATTGCACAGAGCAAATTTTTTGAGTCACTCCTAGCCCAGAGATCAGTTCTGAGAAAACCAAACAGGCCACGCTGAGCAGCTCTGCCACAGTGGTTTCCATTTACAACTAACTAAAAATTAGGCTAAAAGTGATTTTTAAAACATATTATTTGCATAATTTGGGATGTGGGACTATATGTATATTTTCTATTTAGCTGCAATCGTTTTATCAACAGTCTTGCAGGTAATCAGTGCTCAATGGATTACAGAAAGAAAAATACCATTTTCAGATGCAGTGGTAAGTGGAGCCATAGAGCATGGAGCTGAGTTTTTGAGGGCAAAACTTGGTCCACGATTTTAAAGGATCAGGAACCATCTTCTCCTGTGTGCCCACCCCTAACGTCACTCAAAAATTTCTGTGCTTATCCTTTATCTTCTACATTAAACTGTAAAAGAATATTGTAAGCTGTATTTTGGCCATTGGGGGGCAAGAGAACCTTTTGAAAACAATGGCAAAAAACTTTTGAGCAAAGCAGAAAATAATGACCCCAAGGTCTTTTCCCAGCTTTCAGAAAAGACGGTCAGTCAGCTCTGCCTGTAATAAAACTCACAGTCCTTCAATTCATTCAGTTCCACAGTAAAATGCAAATCAGTCAATATTCCCCAAACTGCAGCACTTCTTAGCTAGAATAATACCTGATCCTGTTGTCCTCAGTCAAGGAGCCCTTCTAGGTGTCTCAGATCCTGGCTTTCACGTGTTGGGAGCGGCTGTTTCTGTGACGGCCTGGCTAGACAACAAGGGCAAGAACAAGTTATTAAAACTTTTAAATTCATTCAAATATGATGTAATTTTAAAAACTTAAATAAAATTGATGCACATAAATGACTGAAAGTCTAAATTTACAGAAGTTAGGCCTTGATTTTGCAAAGCATTTCAACCACACGTTGAAGTCCCACTGACGTCCCTCTGTAATTGCGGCTGATAATGGCAAAAAAGCCGATACGATGAACCAAGTCAAAGACTTCTAGCAGAGAAGAGGAAAGGTTTCTAAATAATCCTTTTTTGCAATGCTCTAATTTGATGGTATTTAGAAGACATTATTACTTTGGGTATTTTATTGTGATTAATTTGCTGTTAATCTGGCTCACACGGTTTTTATAAGGTAATGTTCTCTTAAATAGTAGTACAGTTTAGACTGAAATTATTCGTGAAATACTCTGTGCGCATTGTAACTGTAAACCAAAGGAAAAAAAATCTCATTATTCTTTTTTATTGTGATATTTATGATCAATATAAAATAAAACTCACATGAAGTCTACATGAGGTTGTCTTGAGTGAGGGCTGAAAAATGGTCCTTAAATTGGCTATTTCCTTTAACTTAAAATAAAAAAGGTCCCATGTGTGGTTTTTTTCTTGGTATTTTCTTGTTGTGTTAAAGCACAGTCAGATCTGGATGCATTTTAGTGGCAAAAAAGGTAATCACTACTGCTACTGCAGAGTCAAGACAATCATGAAAACCGGCAGAAGAGTCAATCGTTTTATCAGCAGGATTTCTCATATGCCATCCCATCAAAAGCCCACTGAAACGAGGAAGGCTTCCCTGATTACTGGAAAAGTCTGAACTACCCAAGGATACAGACAGACTGGGCTAGTATAAATACCTGCTCATCTACTGAAACACAAGACTAGGGCTGGTTTACACCCAGTTCTGATTTTGCTGTGTTGGTATATAACCAGATTTAGCACTAGAATGACCTTGTGTGACATACAGTATGTAGAAACGCACGTACCTAAAAACCTCATTTCCTCAGGCGCGCCTTGAAGTAGGATTTTCTGTTTTAGGAGCTTCACGCCTACATCGGATGAAATCCTGGGCCTGCGGAAAAAAACCAGCAAAATTTCAGCTGTGGAAATGAGAGATTTCACTCTGAGTTAATTTCTTCACTGTCAGATTTCCCATCAAATACATTCAGCAACTGGCCTGGGAAAATCGGCTACGCAGAAACACAGGATCTGTGGTAGGTACGTACACACCTGCAGCCAAAACGCGGTGGTGCGGGCGCCAAGACCGCGTTTGTTACGCACCGGGGCTGGGCAGCGTCGCTCTTCACACTGGTGCGGTCAGGATGCCCGCGCTGGGTGCTGCGCCCTCGGTAAACCACGGAGTCTCCCAAAGCTTGTGGTCCAAAAACCGCTGCTGAAAACTAAAGTGAATAAAGAGCCTCTGGGCAACAGGCAGTTTCCGTGTAATCTCCCTCAAAATTTTACAGGAAAGAGGTTTGGTTTTGAAGATAATTGCAATAATTTTTGCAAAAAGTCACTTGCTGCTCGGCGTGCAGAGAGACCTGGAAATGGGGGTGTGAAAGTAAGTCAAGGTATTTCTATTCTTTCTAAGGCATTTCTATTGCAGTATTTCTAATGCAGGCAGATGCACTCGTGTTTTTACATGACATTACAAAGACACGATCGGTTTTAGTTTAAATCTAATTGGTTTATCAGAGGAAACAGCACACCGCTTATTTCAGTGCTATATTGCGTGTGAGTGAAACGGCGATGAAGGCAACCTGCCCACACGGACAAGGAGAAGATCGGGAACGCCAGAGCCGAGTACGCAAACTGAAAAGACACAGGTGGAAACCTTAGCTAAAACTTGTTCGCAGCCTTTTCACTTGGTCCTTGGGGGAAAAAACCCCAAACCCAGCGAGTCTATATGATTCTGCATCGTTTTTTTAAAAGACCCTGCCCTCTGCCTAACTCCGGTAAGAGTTAACGAACACACTTTCACTGGAGCAGCGCAATAGGAACTTGCCTGTCGGCGGGCGAAGGCAGCCCGGGCGCTAACCCGCACCGCCGGCCCGGGGGGGACGAACCCGGCTCCCCGCGGCCTCGGGGGGACCCGACGCCGCGACCGGGAGGCACCCGGCGGTCCCCGGCCCGCGGAATGAACTTACCGTTCCCGACCGGAGCGGGTCTGCCCGGCGCAGCCCCCTCCGT